CATGATAATTCTAGAAACGTTGCGTCACTGTAGTCATGTGACTCGCTGACGCAACAATACAGAGATTTTCACATATCGAAATTAAATAGACAACAAACCATAATCCATATTATCAAGTATAAATATGGATAAAAGATATCGCTCACAATATTTCAGGTCGTTATACAGACGCCAAATGAAATGACAAGGAAACCTTCGCTCCTTCTATTTCAAACTGCTCATGAGATTTACATTTAACATGATTTCTTCGAAACCATTCATTAACATAATATGTCACGTGAAATGTTATCATGTAAAAACAACAATTTCTTGAAAATATTCGCTATAACACAAGCGTTATTAAGTGAAATATAACTTTACTGTCTCTGCTAGAAATAGAAAAATAAAGTTTTATTCTAGAAATGCAATGTTTTCAGCAGAACAAAGAAATGTGAAATATTTAACGATAGAAGTACACTTAACTACCAGAAGTTTAGAAGGATGAGTTTTCGAGATTACAACAATGACTTTTGAAGGAAGCAGGTCTCGTACTCACCATGAGCAGGATAGGGTCTGAAGCGTGGCTGGAAGAGTAATCTGCGCAACTTGAAGAGCGAGATAACAGGGGTAGCACAGGCAAGACCAGGTGGCCGTTGTCGAATGTCCATCTCCTCCTAACACGTAAGAGTTCTTTATAGTAATTGACCTAAAGGTCATGACGCGTGGACAGGAAGACCACCCCTACATGGTCCCCTACACGTGTGTGAAATGTATGAAAATATCCTGAATGGTAGTGAGATGTCTTTGAAGTAGCGACAGCTGAATTGCACGCCAGCCTTTTACTGTACACAACACCACTGTACTCCAATGCCTCCCAATCTATGTATAACCCTTTCCTCCTAGCTAGCGTACGATGTCGTAACCACGCCACTAGAATAGAGAGACTCGCACGCGACACGTACCACGAGCTACTGTTTCTACTACATCCTCACAACACCATATTACCGTGGTATTTATATACGTAAGGACGATCGAAGTATGAAGCTAACAACCATGAACACACAAACATATAAGATATATATATATATATACACACACACACCATAGAATCTTATCATATATACAGATATACAACATTGTAAACATGGAGACACACGATCAAAGTGTAAATGTAAAATGCTATTTTATGCTCTTAAGGATAAAGCAGTTTAGAGGATAAATAGTGTTAAAAAAACGAAAATTAATCAACATAAAATCCCTAAGGGACAAAAGGCACAGTAAGGCTGTAAATAATTTGGGCTGTTTGTGCTCTTCCCACCACGGGTGTCGAAACCCGATTTTTAGCGTCGTAAACCTGCAGACTACCATAACTATAAATGAAAAGCAAATGCAGAGATAGTGAAACCGAAATTCTAATATGACGCGCATAGAATTTATTTCTCCAACATTTTCGAGACCAGTGATCCCTTATTCCAAAACATGATCTAGGTAGGACTGACCAGTTGAATCTCTGTGGAAGTTGGAAGACGAAGAACAAGAAGTAAGCAGGAAATTAGTAACTTATATAATTCTTACCGTATTGAATTCCAATAATGAGTAAATAAGTTTTAATTTATTGGTTTTTGTATCAAAGCCGTTCTTTTCAATAAATCATAAAATGTCTATAATTGTTATACGAAACTAAAGATAGATTTAACTCTATTTTCCTTTTTTACAAGTAATGTGAAAATATCGTGCATAGTTAACCGACTAGAATTTATTTAAGAAAACAAGTACAATAAACAAAATTTAAATTTGATAAAGACGCGTAGAGATCGATATATACGTAACCTACCTAGCTATAGTAATACAGAAAGTTTTAATGCTCCAAAAAGTATTGAAACAAGAAAGTCAAACGTACAAAACTGAGTTTAATTTTAAAAAAATTTTTTATCCCTATTTTGACAAAGACTAACAAAATTACTGTGATTTGCCAAAGTAGGAATATATTGAGACCCCAGATGGAAGAGTTCTATAAAAGAATTGGAGCGATAAGGTTCGTCATTTTTAGCCGCGGCTCATAGAATGACTGAGTTTTTGTTTGCCCCTCAATGGTACAACGATATGTCTGCGGACTTACAAAGGTAAAATCTTGGTTTCGATACCGTGGTTGGTAGACCACAGGTGGTCCATTGTGTTGCTTTGTGCTCAACTTCAAACAAACAAAAGTTTTTTGTTTTTGTTTTTTCAAATACAGACTTTTAGCTCATAGCTCCGTCATCTCTTGACCTATTTGAGATCTAATTACAGTTTTGAACTTAAGAGGTCAAACCCATTCGATTGATATATTTGACTGTGCCCAAAGTCTCATAGATTAATTTTCTTTGATTTTGCATAAAAGAAATTCAGTTTGAGGGTAGGCTGGTAGAGATCCTGATGAGTAATAAAACTGAATCTGTATTACGCGCGCCCACGCCTGGTATTGCTAGCGCACAAATATGTAGCTAATAAAAAGGAAAAACAGAGGTCTCGCAGATTAATTTAATCATGTCTAAATGAATTTCAAGTGCCGCGGCTATCGAGGATTCTCTTGTTTATGTACTCTTGTCTGGAATAGTCATTTACTTACTTAGATGAAATTTCGTTGAAATAGTGAAATTTAGATTGATTCCATAAACATATATATAGCTATTTAGGCGGCTTTATAAGTACAATAAGCTTTAGTTTTGCTCAGCCAATACTGTAAAATAGTCATTTGTGATATTCAGACATCTTAAAGGTAGTGTTAAACAGGTAACTTTTATGGCCGCCGTTTTGTTTTATTTCGATCCCCACTATTAAGTACCACCGTACTAAATGATAAAAAGTTAGATTTTATTAAAGAAAAACATGAAAAAATTATTTGTAATTCGAAGCTAGATCAAATTTTCGGTTGGAATATGTTTCGTCAAAATAACCACTAAAGAACCTTGCATTCTAGATAACACTTTATGGAGCGATAACATTCAGAACACCATTATACGGAGATAATACATGAACTGTAGTTTATTTGTCTGTGTAGTTTCTAGCTAAAATAACATTTTATTGACACAGCACTGGAATTATCTCTATCAATGAAGGAGATGTCAAAATAGATTTTAAATGATTTTACAGTTACTATTACAAATTTTACTAGCAAAATAACATTAGTCTTACGATTACTAGCATACGTCGTGCAAGTATTGGAATGTAGGAATAACATTTCTATTATGAAGCCCTGGTGCCTAAGTAATAAAACGTTAATTATCCATTCGCAATTGTAATGAAAATTGAAGTTTAACCTTTGTAGAAATGTTTAACAAAAACGATAATACCATCAACAAAAATATATCGCTGTTGAACTTTTCAATTTTGAATTTTGTGCAAGCTAGAAATATGTATTAATATACATGGGAAGAATAAATAAATGTATGTGTAATATAAAACAGTATCGGATCTCTCGAATATAACTTTAACTTTTGGAAACCTACATGTCAATAAAATCAGTTTGATCAAGAAATATTACCTTAAACAAATGTCCAAACTATTCAATGCAGCAGTGTATTTGAAATGAAAAACTTAATATTCTTCAGGTCGCCAAAGTATTTTATAATATTATCTCTTTCTTCCCACAAAAAATACACTAATCGGAGTTTGTAATTTTTCTGAATTAATATTTCAATAAATAAGTGGTATTCATAAACACACTACATCACACAAAACAAACATTAAAATAGATTAAGAACACTAGATGGCAGCACATCCACACATGTACGTAATATATTTCGCGCGTGAAAAATAATTTGTTTTGTAAATTTTTGACGTTTGAACTCGGGATCTACAGCTAACAAAGTCAATGTTCTATCCCACAGAGCTATCAGCCCCGTTTCCCTTTATTCATAAAGCTTTTTAACTATGAGTATGAAACTTCATACTAATGCGTTGTTGTGGTCAAGCAGTTAGTGTATTGATTTACCACTAACTAAATCATAAGTCTACTAAATTCACATAGGTATTTATTATTACAATATTTAATTCACCTGATGAATCACTGAAAATAAACTTTCTAAAACATTATTGGCGATGAGTACTGTTCATTAGCTGTTTTCCCTCCATAAAAAATCTTATTTTTGATGTATTTCTAAGTTTGTTGAAAAAACGTTGTTTTATAGAATTGAATAAAGTAATTAAATGAACGTTTACATTAACTTTCTTTTATAAATAGTTTTAACATTGATGACAGTGTATAGTTATTCCTTATAAAAATAATGAACATTTTTCTTTCGCGAGCAATGTTATACTTTTGAGGAAAAGTTAAATCTCTTCCGTACGAGCGTTCTTCCTTGAATAAATAAATCATCAAATGGTTGTAAGGAGTTGTGTCTAAGTGGTCAGGAAGCTCTTGTAAGATTGAATAGATTTTTTTATGGCGTTAATAACATTAATATTTTCTTTTTTCTACGGGAGCTTATCGCTTACTGAGTTTAATCAATAAGCAGTAAGAATCAGTTATATCAATTCCCTAGGAGATATTTCTTAGATCAATTAGATCATAAACTAGTTGTGAAGGGCTTAAATCTATTTAGTGCTGTAGTATTTCTTTGATTAAATCATTAAGAAGTTATAAAGGATTTAAATCATCTTCCAAAGATCAATAAAATTATTAGACAGTATTTATAAGTTAACTATTTTTCTCATGAGAGCTCTTTTTTCAATAAGTATAATCAGTAGAGAATGTGAAATTGTTAAATAGCGTCAGTGTGGGTGGTTTTTGTTCTTTTTCTCGGTTGGGTGAATAATACTTTGGTTGTGAAAGATTTAGAATTTTCACTTGTGGAAATTCTTCCTTAAGTGATTAAATCATCGTGCAATTATGAAGGGGATACAGCTTTTTTCGTTAGGGAATTCTTCCACGTATGAGTGAAATAATTAGAGTTAATAAGTTACATATTTTTCGTATAGAAGTTTCTCCTTTGCTGAATGTAATATTAGGGTGAGTGAAAGTGTTAATAAGTTAAATCTTCATTTGAAAAGCGTTTCATGCTAACTTTCAATATACTAAGTTACAAAATAACTTTTTTTCTTTGGTGACTAATTATTCAGGTAGGTGTGTGAGAGAGTAAAATATTTTTCTTCAGGTGTTCTTTTCTGGGTATTTATATTATCACGTGATTGTGAGTGAGCTAAATCTTTTCTTCATACGTGTATTTTCCTTGATTAATTAACTCCTCAGGCCGTTGTGAAAGAAGTACGTTTATTGCACGAGAGTTTTTCCTTGATTGACTAACTCCTCAGGTGCAAATGAGGTAAATCTTTTCCCTACGCAAGCTTTTTTGAATAAATCACTAGTTAGATCTGAAGGGCTTAAATTGTTCAGTGCAAAAAATCTTCCTTGAGTTATTAAACCAGGAGGTAGTTATGAAAGAAAGAAATATTCATCCTTTGGTGGTTAAACAACGGAATAACGTGAAGGAGTTAAACAATTTATGTACAAGAAGAGTTTTTGGTGATTTGATTATCAGGTGTTCCGAAGGATTTTCTTGTGTGCGGGAGAATTATTTAGGAAAATCGTTTGGCGATTAACAGTTATAATCTTATAAAGACTCAGTTGTTAAAGAAGGAGACTTATGTTAATGAAAGGTGCATGGTTAGAGTCTCTTTGCTGCAAATATGTGCTCCTCACACTGGGTCTGTAAGTGCAATCAAAGAGTGACATTTAGAGTTGCTCAAGAGTTGATGGTAGGTATTATTAATTAGCTGTTTTCATATTAATCTATCAGCTCAAATTATGAACGGCGAGCGGAAAAAATAAATGTATAACTTTGCGTAAATATATGAAAAATAATCTTAATAAATAAGCCAATTTAAATATATTTTAATCCTTAAAAGAATAGAACTGTGTTGGAAATGTGAATATTGATCATTAGTAAATCTCTAAGTGCACTACTATAGCTGGTATATAAT